TGGCAAGCGATGCGACCACTCGCACGTGACCGACTCGCGGCGATCGACGTGACCGAGGACATTACGTCGCAGTTCCGACTGCAATGCTTTCTCCGCATGAGCCCCTCGACCATCGAAGAAAGCCGGAAAAAACGGTGAGAAAAAGGGGTCCCTGAGAAGAAACTCCCAGTCGTGGTGCATCGTGGTGGCCTTTTTTCTTCCGAACGCACCGACGGCGTGAGGGACGTCGTTCTTTTTTTTCCGCATGTTTTAGACCCAAGTAAAGCTCCACAAGTCTTCCGATGGCCTCCAACCCAATAGTGGTGGCCCTTGGCCACGCTGGAAGTCTGAGGCTTCGCGGTGGAGTTTGCGCTGAAGCTCCTGGCCCCATTGTACGGCATGCTCCTCTTCGTGGCCATGCCGCCCAGATGCAGTTATCGATGCACTGCGCATGCAATGACGCACGGAGTAATGATGGCTGCCGTTGCTGATGACATGCAATGAAGTATAATGAAGTGGTCGTCTTAGAGTTACATCATTGCTGCACAGATTCGTCTATTTCTTTGACGAAGAAAAGTGCTTTGGTACTCAAAGAGTCAGAAGAACACACTTCATTCGATGTCAGGTACTGGATTAGTAAGCTTTGCAAGCGCCTGACCTTGGACAGAGACGTGGTCATCGGTACCTACGGGAGCTTCTTCGTGGCCTTCTTCATCTCCATCGCCAATCTGTGCCCCGGTTCGGACTCCGGGACGTCCCGGGCGGACGACGTCCGGAAGACCAAGCGCTTCCACTCAACGGAGAAACCAAGCGCTTCCACTCTTCAGGTCCTTGAAGCTCTTCCAGACTTACGAGCACCCCAATGGAGAAAGGTCCATGATTTCCGAGCCGGCTGCCGGCGGCCCTAGAACTTCCGGAGGGGAGGCAGGGGGATAAAAATGGATCATTTGTTAGTGCGGAGAATAAGATGTTTTGCAAAGCACCCTGAGATTATAATGTTATAAGAGGCTGTATACGGCACAAGACATTGGACCGAAATGGAGGATGTGCGCCAGATGACGAATGTGCGCTTTGAGATTCTGTTTTGATGCCTGCCAAGGTCATCACAAGCTCAGATACATGGTTGAGCATGGTTGCGGGTACATCACTGTCCATTTGCTTGTATTGCGTGGGTGCCACAGCGGGTATCGTTTATGCGCTCTACAATGCACCCACCTTCTTCAAGGAGCACGTTCGCCACCGGTCGCTACGCGTTCGTCACCGGTCGACTCGGCGCTGCGGCGGTGCGGTGGTGTCCAGGATCCGGGCTTTCGCAAGCGATGGAAGTTCCTGTTCCTTTCCGTGCGACCCTCCACGTACTGGTGGGTCACTGCTTCCTTGGTGAAGGACGGGCCAAAGAAGAAGACGGACCTTTTTCGTCGGAGGGCAACAACCAGCAGGTTTTTCCAGGGTTTTTTCATGTTTTTTCCATGTGTTTCTCCCCTCCAACACGGAGGGAAAGGAACAGCAGAGAGAAAAAAGACACTTTCTAAAGATTTGGCAAGACTCTGAGACAGGACACAGCCCAAATACGATGAACACCGTGGTGAAAACGCTCTGAACACAGTTTCTGCCATTTTTCGCCAGGCCTTTTTCTTGTCGCTGACCACCATTGTCTTCCAGCGACCCATGGGTCAGACCATTTGGCTCGGAACTGGTGTCCTTCTCAGACTTCGTGTGCGGACTGGTCGAATGGTGTCGTGTGCGACCCGGCGTTGTTCGGCATGAGGTGTCGGGTGTGGGCGGTGTGGGGTGTAAGAGCACTTGGCAGGTTTGATGCTCTACTTCTTGGCAGTCTTTTGGTTCCTGCCATGGCGAACGGCCACATTGCTTTGGTTGGATGTGGCGCTGCATTACCTGCTGGCCGTCTCTTGGAGAACGTCCATGGTCAAAGACCGACGCCCCATTCGAATGGATCTGTACAGACCTTTTTCTTGATGTTTATTTCGTGGAAAGGCTATTTCGTTTCTTTACTAGCGGCTAACTATATCTGGTCTCGAGCCTCTTTTTGACCAGTCACAGAGGGAGGTTGATCACGACGGAGTTGCATCTCAACGGAGAAACGGTGGACCGCCGTTCGGTGAGTATTGGGGGCGAGCCGCATGTTCACAAGACGTTCCACCGCATTTGGGGAACATCCAAAAATGACAAGGAGGTCTGTAAGAGGTTTCAGGTTTCTTCGGGCATTTTGAGGTTTCTTTTCCTTTTCTGCACTGCTCACCACGGAGGTTCTTTGTTTGCTGATGCCTTTCTTTGTCCCGGCCAATGAAACCGAGCTCATCGATGCAGCGACGGTCTTCTTGGTGCCGCGGTTTCAGCGGAAACGGATCGGCGCGGCCCCGGGTTGGGGCATCCGCGAAGATATTCGCGAAGGACGTAGGGTCAATTGATGTGAATTGACCATGATTTCGTTGCTAAGAATTTGGCTTCAAGATGCGATATGGTCATGACTTCAACCAAAGGAACGTGAAGATCCGCGATGAATGGACATGTTTGATGTTTGTCGAGTACTGAGTCAGACTGCATTCCGAACTTGACGCTCAGATGGTCTGTGTCGTCGGCATCATGTGCGCAGCACTCTGCGTCCTTGGGGTTCTTCGAACACAATCACCAAGTGCACTGAGGCAATGGAGGCGCAGCACTGCGCCGAGTGAGTACTTGTAGAAGTGACAGCGATGTTCTCTCAGTCGAGGGATTCCCCGTATGTGTCGATGTTTTTTGTTGGATTGCAGGTTGACCTATGAACAGGATGCCCGGAAGTTTGTGGAAGTCTTCCAGGCCGCTTTCACAAGAAAAGAGCTCGCGCAGTTGCGGAGACTGCACAACTCGGAGACTGCACAGCGGGAGAAACACACGGTCTTTTGTTCTGCGAAATTCTCCTTCTTTGAGTCAAGCCCTTTTACAGTGACTCACCCTGCCTTGGACCGCCAGCTCACGCCGTGATCACTGCTGGGGTCCGGCACCGCCACCGCCGGCGCGAAACAGGTGATGAACGATGCGCAGCTCATGGCAGATGTTCTGCATGGCTTGGTGGATGTGGACTATACCCTGACCATTAGCGTCATGAAGATTCTCAGTGCATCTCGCCGAGATGGATATGACCGAAACGAACATCCCCAAATTCGATGCGGCACGAGAATACGTCATCAAGTATCCATGTCGGCACGAGAAGGCGCGTTTTCTGATGAAGTCCCAGAACTTCTGTGACTTGACGAACATGAACTACTCCCACCCGGTCGCAAAAATTCCATCCACCACTATCAGGATGTTTGGGGTACTAAAAATGAGTCATTGTCCTCCTGCTGGACTCGACCAGGGTTTGATTAAAGTCGTAGCTACGAAGTAGCGTTCGTAGCCCCAAAAGCGGTAATTACCGCATGTTACCGCTTTGAAGACCTCTGACCTTTTCCCTCCCAGGTGGAGCTGCTCGGAAACACCGAAAGTGGCCGTTTGATTTGGAGGAGCGACGAATGGTGGTTCTATTCAGGCCATTATACTGTAAATGGTTTGTATTCTATCCCTAGCCTTCAAAGATCATCAAAATAGAGGTTGTGTAAAAATGCTTCATAGTATAAAGGAGGTTTTTTGAAATCATGTTCTTTGATGTTCTGCCTCTTAAAGTGGTAAAGCCATCTCCGGCTCCGCAGGAAGGGTGGCCGCCTCGGTGCCGCAGCTGCAGCCGAGTCGACCGCGTTTCGCGTTGCGGAGTCGAGTCGAGTCGAGTGGAGGACACGAGTTGGATTCTCGTGATCTTTGCCTTTCACTGAGGAACCAACAAGAAGAAGGCACAGCTGTGTGTGGCAAAGAGCAACATTTGCTGCAACATTGGCCATTTGTTTCGCAACCTGAAAGCTAACGAGTCCATGATCGATGTATTTCGAAACGAACTCTGCAGGAGCGAGGTCCTGATCTCCCAGAGGAATTCTAAATGTCTCCTGGCCGGACACCGAGGGAAGGAGTGAAAAACGAAAGGCTTTCAGAGAGAAACGACCGGCTGAGAAAGAAAGGGTCTCTAAATGTCTCAGACAGGTCAGACAGATCAGACAGCAGATCTAAGCACCACCAAACAGGTCGACCGATTTGGACGTGGCACGTCACGTTCTCGCGGCCGAGACGAGACCGGTCTCCGGCCGAGCGGTCCGAGAGGACGAGTCCGGGTTCGGTGAATCCTCGGAAACAGGTAGTCCTGAAAAATGAGGTCTTTAAAAGACCTTTTGGTCTTGAAATACCTGTTTCTTCCTCGCGGCCCTCAGGCGTTCGAAGATTCGAAGATCGTCGCGACCTGGTTGAGAGCTCGTTTCACTTCCCGCACTGCACGAGAACACTAGCGATGGCCTCCCTTGTGGAAACTGCCGGACACTGGGTGGGGCATCCCGTTGTCACGAATGTGATTGGCCCGTGTGGCTGGCGTCAGACGTGCAGTGTGGGTTTAGAGTCATGGGCTGCGTGACGGGCACGCATGAGTGTGGCAAAAGCCGAGTCCTTGATGATGTTTCCATTGCAAAGCAATGGCAAGGGTCGTCAGACCAGTTGACTGAATCAACTGAGCGATGGAAAATGACAGGACCCATGCCTGACCGCCGCCGAATCATCATCTTTGTTTGGTCGTTTTTTCACCTGTGAATCCAAGAGAGTGATTTCGAGTCGGTGTCCAACGGTCCACCGACTCGAAAACATCCGGAAAAGCGATGAAACGCTCTCGTTGGGCGTCGTGGCCGCCACCGTGCTCATCTGTGCACTACAGATCACCATGTTTCATCGTTCTTTTCCTTTGTTGGCGAAAAAGACACCAAAGACGAGTATTTTTCAAGACCAATCTGACGACAACTCTGTAGGTCACTAGTGTCGCTGGTCCCTCACTTGGCCAATTCGACGAATTAGTTTCGACGCAAAGAGCTGGCACAGACTGAAGCAAAAGTTCCTTCCAAAGCTCAAGCAAAAAGTTCCTTCCAAAAAAGGGTGAACACTATACATTATGTGTATTCGGTTCGCTGTCAGACTCGCGATGGTGCCATGGATGCCTTGCCAGAATGGTTTATCCAAAATCTCAGTGCCGAAGAACTGGTTGAGGCGGGTCACATCACATCAGCTGTGCAATGACCGCGCATGTGCAAAGGAAGGGCTCAAAGGAAGGGCTCTAACTGTCAGGTTTCACTTGGGTCTTTTCACTATTTGAGATGGAAAGAACGGCAACCTGCAACCGGTCCCCATTCACTGGGCTTGGGTAGTCTGTTTGGGACTCCGGTCCCGTGGCTGAAAAACTCACATGGCCCGGACGGTGGCGTCTGAGGCAAGGCGAGAAAAGCTGCAGCATCTGGAATTGTGGCAGAAACTCAATGCTGGACAGCTCTACCAGGTGATCTGCCTCATAATCGGATTCGTGTTGGATGTTTTTTTTCTTCGCTAGCCGCTAGGAGCGGCTAGGTGCCCTCACCCTTTCTTTTCAGATCCTTAAGGATCCGGCGCCGATCTTGATTAAGGGGCTATAAGCAAACACACACGTAGGCGCAATGTAGGACGCAGGAGCTTTCGCAAGAGCCGCTCGTGAGCGTCTCGTTTCAGGGAGCTCCCCCCCGAAACCCAGCGATCTGTTGCCGACGAGATGTGGGGAACACAGGAGTCACAGAGCTCGGGGTGGCTTTAGTCCCCAGAGAGTGGATGTTGGCACCCCTATCCTCTTTTCAAGTCGTGAAATGGGGCATGATTTGCGGGGGCAACAAAACAACGCGAGTTGAGCTGAGAGGCTGAGAGGAGTTCCTGTTGGGGATCAACTCCTTCCGACTTCCAGGTCGCCCGAAAAGATGTCGATGAACTCTTCGCGATCTTTGATGTGGAAGGCGCCCGCGATCTCGCTCGGGAGCACCCGCCGATGTAGACGACCGCCCATGGGATCTTCTGTCACGTTCCAAAAGCTGTTCCCTGTTCTTTCCGTAGTCATTCAGGGAAACGCGTCGTTTCTTTAAGGTTCTTCTTCATTTTTTGTTATGAGTGCATATTAAATATGAGATCATATGAGTGCGGTCGGGGTCGCGGACGTGTCGACTTGTTTGCAGGATCAGGAGAGATCTCCATCGAAGAGTTGATGGAAATCAACAAGGCACGGGTAGAATGTGTTTTGCACCACACATTCCTTCAATTTGCATTAACAGGTATACAATCTACAGTATAATAGAATAATAAATATCTTGGGTCATCTTGGGTCTGTCTTCCCTGTAACAGTCGGTAAACAATGATGTGTATATTGTTTATGTGAGAAAGGCCTTTACTAACTATCATAATCCGCTACTGCTGGTAATAGGATAGACTCTCGGATAGACCCAATATAAATAAACTTTTTGTGCAAGAACGAGTCCCATTGCAATTTCTGTCAATGTTCTTGATGTCATTTTTGCATCCTGAGATCGCATGAGGTTGAAGGCCTAGTCCTGACCAGCTCAGATGTAGAAGCTCTCGGTGTTTCGGCTGAACATGGTGAATCCGTCAATGTTCACTTTGCCTCGGACTTTTTGTGTAGCTGTCACGCTTCTAGTTCGTACTATAGTTCATGTTAATTACTATAGCTTTATAATATACACTCCAACTCACTACCATGGCAACATGGAAGTGTAAAACCCACTGTTTGTAGAGGAAAGTCGTCTTCCAAGAGGCCATTTTCCACTTCCAGTGAGCCAGTGCTCCCTTTTTTTCGCGTCCGTCATGGCTGCGGCCCACGGAGCCTGGTCGAGGAAGAGATGCGGACAAGGACGGTTCGGGTCTGATCAGCGCGAAGGAGCTCTACAAAGCGATGATTCAGGGCGAGGCGTTGGTGACGTGGGGTGGTGGCGGCGGACGAGACGTCGTGACACGTCGTCGTTTTCGTGCCAGGTGGCCTACAATCTGGTGAAGAAGTCGATTAACCAAGAGAGCTTTGCCCAGCAGCTGGCCCCTGGCGTGACTCGGCCGGTCCTTTCTACACGCGACGCGTCTTACGACCGTCTTCGATGCGCAAAGGGGTGGCAGGGTTTCTATAACACTTTGTTGAGTTGCTGGCAGGGCCAACCTGGGGCCGCTTCCATGTGCTCGATGTGCTCGGTGTGTCCACCCAGGAATGCTTGATTGATGATTTGATCGAATGGATGCGGCTCCTTGACGTCTTCGCAACCGCCGCGGCCGGTCCTTCTTCGAATCTTCGAACACGTCGTGGCCCCACCGGAGCGAGCGATCGACCGTGGCGACCGTGCGGGGTGTCAACCGCGACGGCTTGGGGCCAACTGCCCTTTGGGTCGGCTCGACACCCATCGACACTCGGGAGCGAGCGAGAGCGAGTGTACCGACATGGGCCGGAAGGATATCTGAACGACGTCCCCAACTGACATACCCTCACTCTGTATGATGCAGTGCCCATGTTGTACTGTACCCTATTTGGGGCTTGTCTGTAAACGAGAATGGTCTTCTTTAACCATCATCCACTTGTTGCTGTCAAAAGACCATACACCCCTATACACTATCCCAAACTCCATTTTGTCAACGCTAAAAGCTCTCTGCCTGCCACAAAGCCGCACGCATGGAACAGGCTGCGTCCCGTCCGTAGATGGACTAAGACAAGGACGACGGGCATGTTTCACAGAACTGGAATAACGAGACCCCCCACAAGCACCAATAATATCAATCCCCGTTTCAATTTCCTCTGTGACATGGTGGGCCTTGAGGCCACCGGGATCGAGCGATCATTTTGTAGACCACCTATGTTTTTGTCCAAAGAGCTTTTTTAAGGCTTTGCCACACCAGTCATTTTTCTAGACAGTCAAATCTCTACAACATGGAAACCATGAAAGAACTATGTCATTTTTGTAGACAACAGGTGTCATATCTTGTAACAAACATGGTTTCTCTATACAAAATGACACCTTAATTACTACTGAGATTTGTGGGACATTTTATGATCTTGTAGACCAAAAAAAGACGCGAGCACTGATTCTACAACATGACGTCGTGTCACTCATATAGGAGGTGCCATTTTGAGTCATTTCGACCGTCACGACCTCACCGGTCGACGCGGTGGACCGTTCCTCAGGAACGAGTACGAGACCAACTCAGCACCTGGACGCCACACATGACCTGTCCCGGGCATGGCAGACCTGTCCCGGCCTGCGCCGTGTTTTGTGTGGGTTCGGGTAGCTGGTGTCACATCGTTTTCTTTTGTCGCGCGTTGAGAAAGACATCCACGACCGGTTTCCAAGGATTTGTGGTCACTGCCACAGACGATTTGTTTGTTCGCTGTCTTCCAGTGGTGTGCCACGTCGCACATTCCTGTGCGAAGCTTGGCGAATCGAGAGGTGCGACCGCGGTGTTCGGTTTTCAACCAAAGGTCAGCTCAGCCATTTTCATGCAACATGCCAACTCAAATCAACTCGATCAAAAAACGTGTATATATCGACGTCACGTCGTGAGCAAAACGTCAAGGAACAAATTGGAGAATGGCCAAGAACTTTGATGCAGCTTGGCATGGCTGGAACTTTGGCAATGTCTTTTTCGGAGACCGTCGGACGGTTTGTCGCTTCCAGGTCGCCGAGTTTGGCACGGTGCTCAGACTGCTCGGACCTGGCGCGGACGGTGCGTTGTGCGCGTTGCGGGTGGAACCCCGCACGACTCGACCCGCTTCGGGGTTCTTTCGATGCGAGGGTTCTTTCCTTCGCGAATCGGGTTTCGTTTGTGAGGCTCCTACAAATTTAGTTTCATCTATGATTATACCTCTCTGTGGGATTTCTTCGAGCATACCTTCCTGGAACAACATGCGAACCAAGAGCCTTGGCGGAGTGAAGTGTGTTGCGTGGAACGTCACACGCGAACGTCACACCGATCGAGGTGTTGCTTTCTGTTTAACGAAGAACGATGTCTTCGATCCGAGAAGTAACGGGGAGGTGTTTCGAACTTGAGAACTGGTAACATAAAACCTTTCGTGCACCTTGCTAGCGTGAAGGCAACAGCAAAATAAGACGACCCTGCAGCGGTGTGGCTGTGGGGCCGACGACCTACGAATATTTGCAAAGATTTCGGCTGATTGCTTTAGAAGATTTTAGAAGATGTTCCTGGTTTTTCCGGTGTCCGATGGGATGGTTATCCGTCCTTCTTTTGCGGCGTTCTTTGCTTTTGGCGCCCAATGGACAGCCACCAATCGGTTGGACAAAAGGTCATGACAGCGGGGGAGCTGTTTCCGCAAGCGAAATGGGAACACCCAACATCCCCAAAGCCCTTTGCACCCCAAAAAAAAGCAGCTGAACACCTGCCAGCAGCCCTGCCGCTCGCGCCCTGGCGCCACGGCCGTGGTTTCTTCGGTTTCAGGACTTGAAGCTCACCACCCCTGCGCGATACTTCATGCGCAACCAAATGCTGGGAGCCTCACGCTTCAGGCGGAAGATCGCAAACACGCAGAGCAAAGTGTAGCAAAGCACCGTCTAAGACCAGAGCAGGAGTTTTACGTAGACAAAGTGTATAAAATCACTAAGAGAAAACAAAGAGAACTGGCTTCGATGGCATGTGCCAGTTCCCTTTCTGCAGAAGGGTCTTAGATTTGACACGCCGCGCGCTGCGCCCTTTTCAAAAAGCATAGCTTCCTTTTGTTTCCTTTTAACGCTTTGATCCTTTTTGCGTGTTCTTCACTTCCTTCCAGAAAGCATGCTTTCTTTTGACTTGCGGCAAGCTTTTTGTGGCCTTCGCTTTTCCCTACGAAGTTGCACAGGCGTTTGTATACACTACCCCAAGACTGCCCGTTGCCGGACTACTTGAAGAAGCAGCCTGGCTGATTTGATTGTATTGGAGTTTCCTCAGGATTTTACCCAAACAAAACCGTGTTTTGCAGAAGTTTAAAGGCAGAATCAGTCCATTGCAGACTGTCCCAGGGTCTACTATCCATTTCCACTTCCATTTGTTGGGCCCTCAGTGACAAACTCCAACTGTTCGGCCGATTTGATGTACGCTTTAAACGGCGCGTAAACGCGCCGTTTCTTCGATGCACCGTGTCTTCGATGCTTGTCAGTTGAACAAATGCCACAAGCGCGGGGAGCAACTCGTGGACGATCGATTTCTCCTCTACCACGAACGCCGCTTGCATTGCGGGCGTTCACGTCTCCGGTTCGGGCGACTGCGAGAGGGAGCCGACCGCGAGAGGGAGAAGAAACAGAGGTGATTAACATGGCTCAGTTAAGACGTTCGACTACTGCCCCAAAGCTAACTTTGTGTCGAAGAAGCACTTTTAGAACAGCTAGATTGCTTTCCCTGAGAAGCAGAAGAAGCACCTTGAAGCACCTGTAAGGACTTGATACATTGAAGAGAAGGCTGAGAAGTTGGGGCGATGAATACTGGCTGCTTGGTTTCTGTTCGTTTGGTGGTTTTCTCTCGTCAGCTTGGTTTCTCACGGCTTCATTCCCCTTCGGTCTGCCGGGTCGCGAGCGAGGTTGGACGACAATACCACATCCATTTCCGTGGACACCATTTACATGAATCCGGCCTTGGGCACGCGCGGGCTCCCAGAACCGGCCTGATCAACCGAGGTAAAGAGTGTTCTTCAAAAACCACGAGCGTTCCACGCGTGGAACAAAAGGAGAAGAACGAAAACATGAAGCGTGTCGCGTGTCGACGAAATGGGGCACTTGGACATCTTTGAAGATGATGGCCCAAATCACCTGTATTCTGCCTTTGGAGACGTGGCCTTGTAAGTCTTTTGAACCAAAACAGCTCTCCATTCCTTCAATTCCTTCGCTCCTCGCTCCTTCAGTCCGTGTGGCGCCCGCAGCGACGTGTGTTCCGACCTTCGCCGAACGCGGCGAGGTGGACCTTCGAGCAGTTGACCTGGTTCTTTGAGAACAACGGTCACCTGTCTTCGGTCGGTCGAAGAAAGAACCGGGAGAACGTCCAGTCAGCGGTGAGGAAGCACGACGGGATTCCCTCTCTGTGCGAAAGGACCATCGTGTCCTCTTTGAAGAAAAGACTATTTAATACTATATTTATATATGACCTGTAAAGCTGACTATATATATATATATATATATTCTGGAAGTCAAGTCGACCTTTGTTTAAGATGGTTGCTTCTGGTTTTGTAGTGTAATACCCCAATATAAAACAATGGTGGTTCGGGATTCAAGCTCTTAAAGCAGATTCGACTTCCAGGGATTTCCAGGGTATATATAGCATATTATAGCCCAACTCGGACCGATCATGTGAAAAAAGAGTGACCCGTTTTATGCCGCTCTCCTGCTCTTCTTTTTCCGGCACCTACTTGCCACAGTGGTATCCAGTGGTCCTAATTCTGATCCTACTCACGTCAGCGCCCACCGAAATGACGGTTTTTCCCCGGAACGAGGAAAACCCATTTTGCCTCTGCGGGCCAAGGCTATCTCCACCACGTACAAACCACTGAGACCTTCTTGATCGAACCCTATAAAGATTGGAGTGCAGTCATCCCAGATGTGCTCCTGGGCGATGTGGACGCGAAGTGGACGGAGGGCGACTCCGTCCGACCGTGACCTGCGAAGGTCCGTTGGTTCGGAGAACGGCCGGACTGGGCGCAAGGACGGCCGAACAGGGACGCTGTCCGGCGTCCAGTGGTCGGAACAAGTCACAAGAAGTATCAAGAAGCTACGTTTGGAACAAGGTGCATTGCTACTAGTAACAAGGGCATTACTACTAGTAACAAGAAGCTACTAGTAGCCATTTGCTACTAGTAGTAATTTATGCAGGTGTTACTAGTAGGGAGGGGGTTACTAGGACAGTCAGTCAGGATCGAACCCTCGAAGAGAAATGTTCGGTGCCGGGAAAGGCGTGCAAACTGCCATATATGACAGGTTCAGCCAATTAGAGCTTTGGAAGCGAAAAAGTCCGTGACATTCTTCCGTAAAAAGCATTGTGTGCCTAAGGCTTTTCATTCTCATTCTCATGCGCATTCTCTATTTCGAGATGAAAGAGTTCGTTCCCGCCATGGCGATGCTCGGCAAACCACTGCGCTTCCTTCTCTTCTCTCTTCTCTTCTCTCTTCTCTTCTCTCTTCTCTTCTC